CGGGTTTTGCAAACAGATTCTCCTTGGCTGTCAAAAAGGTCTAAGAGGAGAAGGCAGCGGTGCCAGTGAGCTGGGCCCGGGGGAGGGGGGGCGCAGAGGAGTCCTGAGGGAGCAGGTGCTCATGGGGGCCGCTGAAGCCAGAAGACGGGGAGGGGAAGGGGCTCAGCAGGAGGGGCGGACGCGAGGCAAGATTTTTCTCATTAGCATGAAGGCCTAATCTGTCATTTCTCGGCATTACGCAGGTTTAGCTTTTTTTTTTTGGTTTTTCTCTGGTACCAGGAACCGAACTCACGACCTTGCGCTTGCCAGGCAGGCGCTTTTGCCGCTGAGCTAAATCCCCAGCCCCCAGGTTTAGCTTTTTTTAAAAAAAAGACTCAGTTTATATCCTGTGTACCCAAAGCTGCTCCAGCGTATCAGACAAGGAAGTAAACCCAAGGAAAGGCATCCAGGAAAGTGGATTCAGCCCAGGAAATAAAACGGATTCAGCCCCAGGATGGCAGCTGGGTCCCAGCCTGGAGCGCAGTCTGTAGACCGATCCGCAAACAGGGAGGCTCCCGGAAGAGGGATTCACAGAGGACAGGGTGCTTGGAGTCCGAGCACAGACAAGGGGCGAGCAGGCAAACAGGTCGGTGAAAGAAGGTAATTAAATTTGCAGGAAAAACAAAGGCTCTAAAAACTACAAACACAGCATCGTGTTTTCCGTTAGTAATTTCATCATCCACAGCAGAATACAGGAAATAGGTTTTTAGTTTATAAAACCCAAAACATCAGGATGAGCACGGTGTTTTTGTTACATTAACCTAAGAGACACAGGAAAAGCGGTACGAGAACAGGAAGCGAAGAAGGAGGGCGCGATGCCGTACGACAGCAAGCTACAGGCACAGTCCACAACGGACGGACAAACGCTGGCGCTGTAAGGCTGGCATTTCACCGTGCGCACGGCTGAACAGCAGAGACGGTACGTGGAGGCGGCTCTCTCCTGCACTGCACTGCTTGTATTTTCAGTGTGGCAGCCCCAGGCCAGACTGCCAGGGTTCGAGTCTGGGCTCTGTCGCCTGCTAGCTGTGTACCCTTGGCAAGTTACTTAGCTTTTTCAGAACTAATTCACCCTCTACACAGCGGAGATGAGATGTGCACTAGAGAGTTATGCCTTCAAAGTCCACAAGCACCTGACAGTAACACGTTTGAGTACAAGACCAGGAAGGCCACGACCTTCACCCCGAGACGTGGCCCTCTGGCTCTACCCACACAGGCCTGCACACGGGCAGCATGGCAGAAAAGCCCGAGGCGCTTCCCTGAGGCCACGCTCCAAAAGCAGTCTGAAGCAGCAGTGGGTGGGGTGGCGCACAACTGTAATCCCAGCACCCTGGGAGGCTGAGGTAGGGGGATCACAAGTTCCAGCCCAGCCTGAGCAATTTAACAACCTACCACCCCAGACTCAAAATAAAAAAATAAAAAAGGCTGGGGATTTAGCTCAGTGCAAAGGCCCTGGGTTCCATTCCCGGTACCACCACCCCCAAAATAAGCTAAAAAGAAAAAGTGGTGTCTGTTCTCTGCGTTCTCCCCATGGTGGGAGAACTCAGGGTCCCCCCGTGGGGGGGCACTTCATAAATCCTCACACGAGACTCAATTCTATCTTTCTTTTATGCCTACCAGTCCTGACCTTTGGAAAGCACAGAACAAATTTCATCTGTTGTACGTTAACCATTTCAGCGGATGGAAATAGCTATTAGAGCCCGTTACACCTCTCTCCAGGCAAAAGCGTAATGGTGAGGGTCTCCGGCGCCAGGGCGTTAGGGCGGGAGGGACATGACGAGCACCCCAGATGAAGATGACAGAGGAACAGAGGCAGAAGAAAGGCCACCACCAAACGCTCCTTCAAGTGTCTCCGACCGTGACACACCAGTGCCCCAGCCCCACCACTGCTCCTGAGGGCCGCACCCCGGGGGCCTTAGCCAGGAGGCAGCAAGGAGGCGCCACTTACAATGGTCAGTGTCCACCCCAACACAGGATCGCTGCCCTCGCAGCCGAGCAAACCACGGGAGCAGCAGTTCCTGAACAGCTCATCAAGTGTTCACTCTGCACCTGCTACAAACCTCTAGGTGTTCTGAGGGTCTCAGAAAACCGTAGGCCAGGCGTGGTGGCGCATGCCTGTCATCCCAGCACTCGGAGGCAGGAGGATCGCGTGAGCTCGAGGCCAGCCTGGGCTAAGTGAGTTCTAGGACAGCCTGAATTGCATGGTGAAACCCTGTCTCAAAGGGACAAAAAAAAAAAAAAAAAAAAAAAAAAGGGAGAGAGAAAAGAAAACAAAAAGAAAAAAAGGAAAAGAAAAGCCCTGACCTCCACGGTGACTTCCGACCTCTGTCCTCTTTGTTGCGGGCACACGTTTGCCAGGCCGTCTGGGAGTCCCGAGAGCAGCGTGGCAGGACTGTGGCCACACCGGGCCCTGCTGTTGCTTGTTTCTAGCACTAAAAGCCGGATCACAGCAGGACTGAGCTCCAAGCTGAAAGACCAGTTACTGAGGACAGCTCAGCACTGGTAGCCTCCCTCTGTTCCGTGCTAGGGTGTTAGGGCGGGAGGGACATGACGAGCACCCCAGATGAAGAGCCGTGGCCTCCCTCTGTTCATCTGCCCATCTTCTCACTCCACGCCACCCTATTTCATGTGGTCCCCGCCACCCACCTCTACCAGCCAGGGCGGGGAAGGTGCCCCTCCTGGGGCTCCACACACCCCCATCCAGGCCACAGCCCTGCCTCCAGGTTCCCAAACTGGAGTTGTGGCTGGTGCAGGAAGAGGAAGGGATGCAGGAGGAAGCGCTCTCCCCACCGGAAAGACTATGGCTGTGGATACTGGGCCTCCTTAGGGTGGGAAAGCCAGGTGGGGAGGAGGCCAGACCAGGCTCTGCCTGCTCTTCCCTTCCTAAGCACTCTGCAAGTTCCTTCTTGGGATCTGTAAGCTCCTCCCAGGATCCCGCCAGTAAAGGTCTGTTTTGGCTGATGTTTGAGATGGGTTTCTGTTTCTGGCACTAACAGGTCCTGACGGCCTACACAGGAGCCTGCAGTCCACAGGCTAAGTTTGAAAGGAGGCTGGCCCACTGTCTTGGCGAGGGCATCCTTCACCAAACCACTTACTGAGCACGGAACATGTGCTGGGCGTGACTACCAGTGCTAGAAAACACAAAGCTGAAAAAGACACGATCTCTGCTCTCAGAAAGTCCAGTCTCCCATAAGCAGAGGTTTAGAGAACATGCTGGAGGGGACATGCACTCCACCAGACATGACCCTACAAGCCAGTAGGCTCTGATACCTAAGACGACAACATCACAACTGAAAGTGGGTCTAGCACTGGGTGTGGAGGCACACGCCTGTAATCCCAGCACTTGGGAGGCTGAGGCAGGAGGATCGCCAAGAGTTTGAGCCCAGCCTGGGCTACATAAATGAGTTTAAGGCCAGCCTGCACTACATAGCAAGACCCTGTATATGAGAGAGTGAGAGTGAGAGTGAGAGTGAGAGTGAGAGTGAGAGAGAGAGAGAGAGAGA